GAATCCGCGTAATGGGTTGATTCAAAAGTTTGCAAACAATTTTTTTTTCATACCCCAATGAAACTAAAAAAATGACATCATTGCTTATAATTGATGTTAAATCCACCGAGTTTAAAATAAAACATAAAAGGAAGTAATTTTAAAAGAATTTAATAATGGCACTTTATATATGCCCAACAACCATGAACTGAACGATATGCAAATGAGCGCGCGCGTGTCAGCTGATCTGATTAGCGGGAAGACGTCGGCCATCTTTCATAGCTCACCCAAGCGAGGAATGCTGGATGGAAAAGTTCATTGTTTTACTTAGAACTGTTTTTGGCCGAAGTTAAACACGCAGTTTGAAAAGGAAGAGTGGGAGTGAAGTCCAGAGGACATAAAGTTGTTGGAAGAAGCAAGCTGTGTTGAATTCAACGTATGGTTTAATCCTGACACACGTGGTTTACTTGTGACAGTTGATTAAAGACCAATACTCCGGGTGACGCAGGCTTCGGGTTGTGTAATAGTATGAGTTACGGGAACGACTTCCTGACTGGCGTTCGGCTGTATGACTGAAGAAAGGGCTGTACTGAGCTGATGTTTCTGTCCGGTAGTGCAACCATGGCTATAACTCCGGACTCAACTTTCATTATGATGACCGGACATGAACATTATGTGTCTAAGTTCAAATCCGGTATCACTCATGGCCTGGATAGCGGTGGTGCAGAGCCAGTGTGCCTTGTAGTGTTGTGTGCATTTCGTGAAATGTCTACCATAAATCTGGAGAATTGGAACAGTTTCAAGTTGAAGTTGAAATTGAAGGTGAAGATCAAAGGTTTCTGTGAGCCTTTGATGTTGCCGGGGAAAAATAGTTCCGGCTTATTATTTTATTTTTTTTTTTTCATAGAGGTATGAAATTATTTTAGACCAATCAGATTGCAGCATTTTGTATGAAAAAAAAGGGAAAATTGATTATTTGTGTGTATCATCCACTTTGGTAATTATTCTGTATAGAGAATTGACTCTCATAGCTGCTTCTCAACATCTAAATTGACTACTATGTGGTTACTTCTCAATATTCTAAATTGAAGACTATGATCTCTTTTTCGGGACTTTTGGTCATCTATGATGAGTCGTTCATTTTCTTCATTCCCATGTTGGACATTTCCATTTCTGGGAGCCAGAGCCTGAGCACCAATTGCTCTCATTGATGTCATCATATTTCGTGCTTCGTACACAGTAGGATTGTTGTTGTTCCCACCCCTGTGACTATAATGTCCAAAATGCTGTTCAATTGGATCCTGATTAAAATGGTGTGTCAGACCAAAGTTTGCGCCAGCATTAAGGATAACCTGTATGCATTCTGTAATAGAATTCACACTAATTTTGAGACCATCTTTTGTCTGTTAACTCAATTTCATCCTGTTGCGTTGAGCCTGGCTGAAGTCTCCTGGTCGGTTCTCAACGCATGCATTCCACTGATCCAGATATCCCAAAAAGTCTTTCTTTAACCACTCTAATCGTGGATCTGAGACATCTTTGTAAGGATTCAGATAAAGATTTCTCTTATTCCTTCCTTCATACAGACTTCGAACATTCAAGCAGTCAAAAGAATTGTTAAAGTTTCTTATGAAATCAACAGTCTCACTAACATCGTATAATTCCTCCAGAGCATTTCCCACAGAGCTACTTAACACTTGTCCTGCTAGATCTACATTCATACATCCAAAAGCTGTCACATCTACATGTGCACGTGTAAGTTTTGGACATGGACTATACAATGAAAGTTCACAATTTTCCTCATACAGCCTTAATATATGAAGCCATGAAATATCCTTTCCATCTTTCCACAGTTTTCGAGTGTTCTTGTGAGAATAAGAGTTGCTGAAACAGTTTCTTGTGGTCTGCACAAGATGTGGAACATCAGAAATAAAAAAAAAATATTTTCTACCTTTGTCTCTTGGGCTGAATACACAAGAACTTCAGCCACTTTATGTATATGAAAAAAAATTCGGTTTGCAGATGCATCATCACATGTTAAAAAAACACTTTTAGATTGATGATTTTAACAATATCCACAGCCTTCCAAACAATTGGATACAAAGAGTCTGCGGTTATACTTGTGGTAGCAAATTCAGCAAGAGGAAACTTCACATCTGTCGAAACACCACGCACCATAAGAACAAGCATGGATTTTGCAGTAGCACTTTTTTAATTATCTGACTTTTTTTATAGTTCCAGAATTTGGTTGCCAACTTTATCTAGGTTACAATAGCCAATAAGTTCACCAGTATGCTTGTCATACACAAGATCCTCCTTAATTCTAATTTCATCAAACAGTATTCCAACTTAGCACTTAAATGGTTCATCACTTGACAGCATCCATTTCTTTGATGCTTTCTCTTGTAACATTTTTAAAACATCTCCATGAAATCCCAAAGCACTTGTAGTGTAGTGTGAATAATCAAATAGAGTCCGAGCACTTGGCAAATTTACAAACCCAGAGTCTCTCAAGACATCATAAGCTTCAGCAGACTTATGACGCAAATACAAAAACCACTTCACTATCATTGGATGCCATCGCATACCATTTCCCTCATATTTTGAGAATTCCAGCTGCTGCTCCCAATGTAGTCTTTGTAAAGAATTCGGGTCTGGAAATACCTTCTCCATGTCCTCTCAACAAACACTAAACAAGTCTGACATTTCCTGATTTTGGTGACCTGGCACCCTTATTCCACACTGCAAATTATGCCTGTCAATGTCCCTCTTTTGCTTGTCAATGGTGTGTTGTAAACTTTTCATACACTACTGCTGTTGTTGAATTTTTGAAACGAGCATTTGCCTATTCATGTCTTTATTTCAAATTTGGGAAGACTTTGTGGGAGCTCATCAGGGTTGGAGACAGCAGATATTTCAGGCACTTCAGGCACACGAGATGACACATAATCATGATCAAAGTTAGAGAAAGATGATGAGATATTACATGGTGTAGATGTGTAACTGTGGTCAGATCTGACAGGGGATGGCGTGCAGGTATCACCTTGTTCAAGACAACGTTGTCAGGAAGTGATGCATCATTATGATCTGGATCATGTTGACAGCTGATGACAACCGTATTTTCTTTTTATTGAATACTTCTTGCGTCCCAAAACTTTCTTTTCTTCAGTTTGGCATCCTGGACAAATAATAATGGTGTTTTGGTGTTTAACCTCTACAAATATCACTGGCGCCCTTATACTATTGTATTATTATTATAATGAAGTATAAGAAAACTTCAACCTCAATTTTTTCACCAAAAGAAGTTATTTCCCAAACCTATGATGCTTAAAATTAAGTTCATGGGATTTACACACACCCCCATCCAACAATTTTCCTAACATATTGCACCGAAACGAAATGTGACGGACGAACCTAAATTAATATCCCCTGTATCAGTGAAGCGGGGATAAAAAGGAGGGCTCACTCCGTAACATCGATGTTCAACTCACAGTACAATTGAATATTGCTAAAATTATCTAGTTAGTCTTACGCAGTAAAAAAAACCTTTAACCGAGAAAAGAAAGCTGAAGATTGTAAGTCTTGTTAAAAAAAATAGTTGGAAACGTACCAGAAATTATGAACAAGACCTTTGTCTTGACCTTCATTATTGGGTCATTTTCTTCACTGACTGTGATGTTAAAGTTGGACAAAGACATGCATCATGAATTGGAAATGGCTGGATCTGTTTGATTTTACCCTCTATAGTTTCCCTTTAAAACCCATGAAAATGTAATTCCTCTGAGGAAATCACTAAACATGATACGAGCTATCAAATGTGATTTCCAATTCATGTAAGATTTTATAAAACTTCCCTCAAAGGTTGAATTTCTGCTAGCCAAAGCTTGGAAATATAACAACTTTTAGACTTACTTCATGAAATGCCATAATGAAATGAAAACAGTCATTTACAAACTATCCAACTTTGCCTTTGGGCTGGCCATTACAACAGCAGCCTAAATTCAATTAAGAGGGAAGAAATTGATCTATGACAAGCATATAAATTTCTAAAACTCATCAAATCTTATAACATGTATAGGAGAACGAAGTAAGAAAATAGTCGACAAATGCAATTAACACTTCTGGATAATAAAATAAGGTTTAAAGGTCTGATTGAACTGACATTTAAAAGTGAAGCATGTAGTGACTTTATAAATGAAAAAAAATGTTATGGCTTCTTATGTATCTTTTGTATAATCATTAGTCATCATGGACCTCGGTGTCATGTTTACCTCGTAATCTAGTTAATTTTCTGTTTGTAAAATAAAAAAAGTTTCCTTATGTTTGATCGACTAGATATTAATAGGGTTTCGTCATTAAAATTAAAACAATCATTTGATTAAAATTCAATAAACTAGTTAAAACACGGTTGTTTGCATTATTGTAGAGCACTGGCAATGAATGTGTTAATATCCTCGCATCTTTTGATTTCCCCTCCACGTAAACTACCTATATTCTGCTGTAAAATAATAAACTTTTCATATGTTTGATCGACTTGATATTAATAGGATTTCAGCAAAAGATATCAAGGAAAATAAAACAATCATCTGATTTAATATATATATACTATTGAAAGCATAGTTGTTTGCATTATTGTGACCACCGAGCGTGTCTATATCAACTCGCATCATGTGCTTTCCTCTCCACGTGACATTTTGTTTATCTTTGATAACGCATATTATACCTGCAATAACACAAAATACACACAGAGGCGTTTTATAACACCAGTTCAGTCAATAACCATACAACTTACGTTTAATTTTCGTCCTTTTCACCACGAAAATTGTCTTGAAAGCGCAGCGTATCTGTGATGACTTCAAAGCGTTAAAACAATATGAAATGAACTCAAAAATGTGTGCACATATGTGACTTGTACCATACAGCTCAACGGCGACGATAACGTGAGTTACCAACAGGTCAAAGCAAGGCTGGGTGCTCATTTAAAGTCACTGATAATCTAAAAGTCGAAAGGGCGGTACAACGCCAGGACATCGGGTCACAGATACAGAAATCCTTCCCCAACTGCCAGTGTTAAACTATTTTGTAGGTAAGTAATGTTAACAAATCATTTGACAAAAAATGGCTGTCCTAGACGTTTCAATGAGTGTGTTTTTATTGCTGCAGATGAACAGTAGCCATGCGGTATTATCTGATTTGTTACAGCAGCGTGTCTGTGTCGGAGCTACACATTAGATTCTATACATGTATATAGTCTCTACTAGACTGTATGGCACATACACATCTACGCGTTAAGATTAGTTGATATAAGGGTCATTTTGTACCCAGACGACTGTGTAAAAGGACACGCAGTATCTATGATTCGGTTTAAAAACTACCACCGATTCACAGTCTACTTCATGATTAGTGGACAAACGGGACATTTCATAACCTGATGACAAACCGCGCCTATTAAAATCCACTAACAGACGGTTCATATGCATTCTTTGTGAAAATGTGTACCTCGACCGGGTTTCGATCGGTCTTTAATAGTTACGTCTAAAAACAATTAGTTTGACTTCTGTAAAAAAAATTATAGCCATTATAATGATTGTTAAAACCGATAATCACTATTATGTTTGGTACAAAAACAATAACCATTTGTTAATATTGGTGAAAAACAATAACATTATTATGATTGATTGAAAAACATTAGTCTTTATTGTGATTGGTGAGAAAAAATAGTCATTATTTTGACTGATTGGAAATAATAGTTATCATTATTACTGGTGGAATTCAACAGTTAGTGGAACAGTGTGAAATGTAGTTAGTAATTATGGCTCCAAAGTCACCTAATTCATTTCAGTTGTCATTAAAACGGACGTACATATTTTCATTCGATGGAAACAGAAACTCCAATTTAGTTTCGTCATTGTGATGCTGTGTAAATGTGGACTTAGCGTCGAAGGAGACATGTATCAGCTCAGGTCTGTCTTAAAACATATTTGACCCAGTGTCAATGTTTTATCTAAAATTGTGCTGGATTAAATTTCTAGCTTGTGTCGGATCAAGTCTATCTTAAATTGTGCGTGACTTTGTGGCTATCAGATAATTGTGTTGGTTCGATATTGTGCTGTATAAAATATCTATTCCACGTTATAATTCATGCAATACTGCAATTTATAAATTCTCCTTCCCATCTTATTTTAATCTTTTATTTCGAGTTAAGGTTAGGATTATGTTGTGATATCGTTATAGACCAAGTGTTTACATAACGTTTCGGTTTAGTGTCTATATCATGGTGTCAGACGAAGCGGCCTGTGTATCTTTTGTACATTTTTATATAGTGTTGGTGTCAGTGTCTGTCAAATTGTGTTACTTTATATTGTGATGACATAGGCTTCCGTTGTATTGTGCTGGACCAGGTGTCCATGTTTGATTTTGGGTTAATGTTGCGTGTCATCTGTTACTTATTATTTCATTCATATAACGATATATCGCTAACAACCATACATTTCGAAGATGTCGCAAATTTTACAGGCTCTGATAATGTCCGGCTGCCACGTTGGCTAGGATTTGTGTTTTTCATTGCGTATGCTTTTTTTAATTTTGCTGAAATTCTTTGAACAATGCTTAGTAAGATTGAACAATTATAAGCCGACGTTTATATCAGCCATGTTCGGCTGTCATCAATAAAGACGGCATATTTTTACAATATAAACCTCTACCGCTATAACTAATTATAACAAAACACGACACGATATTTCACGTCTGTTTGGGTTATTTACATAGTACCTTAAATGAATTTCTGTCATAATATATTTGTTTAAACATAACGAAATTAACACATTATTTATATTTTCAGATTCATCGTCCTTTTCGACATGTCGTCCAGCGGTATGTATTAGTAAGTCAATATAAATCCTATCGACAAAACAGAAAAAGCTTAACATTTTATAAAGACATGAAAACCGAATAGACTATAATAAAAATATAGAAAATTATTGACGTCATTATAGGGTAAATATTAGTTTGTAAGTTCCGCTATCCCTTAATCTAACAGAAATGTAAAATGAAATGCTGCGGGAAAAGAGAAGGTACTTACCAAATATAACACTTATATTCAAATCTCCGGGATAAACAGAAGGTATATTATACATGATGGAATAGATTAATAAATTTCCCTCTATTTCTTTATTTCTATTTGTTTTTGACATAAACATCTTCATAGTAAATATTAGTACATTATTATTTTTAAACACATGCTCCTTATAACATAACCCCATCCCTAAAGTCATTCCAAATCTTTCAAAGCAATCTATCGCAACTCATCTCATCTTTATTAAACATTTTCCATTTCAACGTAACTTATTTCCTTTGCCTGTCATTATCCTTCTAAATCAGTATATTCAAACAAATCACTTATAAGATTGAACTGATGTATGCAATCTGAGTGGAATCGAGCTTCAGAAATCAATGGAAAATAGTTAAGTGTTCAACTTATTCAGCCGAACGCTGGGAAAAGTTTCAAGATGAAAAAAATACTTGAACCTGAATCCACTCTACAACAACCTGTCAACTGTCAATCCGGAGGATGGGATTTTAAACGGTGGCCCGTGGGAGGACTGTCCACCCTTACACGATAATGATCCATCTATGGTTTCTAAGAAGAAGTGTGATAACGAGGGATAAAGAATAGAGTTAATGCAAAATAAATCTTTCGATAGGCGTCAATACAATAATCGATCCAAATGTGTTGCTCTTCCCAACCCTTTTCTGTGTCATGCGGCAAAGACCAACTATATCACTGACAGGATCAGACACCGTTTGTCCGTGAGACAACGTCTAGAAATAAGAGGATTCAAGGATACATAAAACCTGTAACTAACCAACCAACCAGAGAGGGCATGCTTCAGTCGAAAACCACTTTTGCAAAAAAAAAAAAAAAAAAAACTCTTTTACTAAAACATTGAAGCGATGACATATGTCTTACTGACCGTGTTAACGGCAACAAACACAAAAGCATAAGAACAACCCACAACTCTCACGTTTGTAATGTGAATATACCATTTAAGAAAAAAAAACATTCCAGAGGTATCATGACGCTCATTATCATTTTCTATTTATTTGTTCTTGGGGCGTTTGATCTTTTCCTTTTTTATCTATTCGTTCCTCTGATGTTGCTCTTAATTACTATCCAATGTACAAAAAGCGATCATAAGAATTGTTTAGGAACAGGTGGACAGACAACAGGCGACGGACGGAACACGGAAGACTACAGACGCTAGACGATTTGAACAACCCGCCGTCTGTTGATGATTTTCTATTGTGATTGTGATATTTTTGCTTTTAATATCAGTGGCATATGTAAATATTTATTTCACCAATAGTTTACAAGTTCGATAGTGCACAGCTCGATGTATCGGTTGCTATGCAAAAGGACTATGACGACAATGGCTACATTGTGTACAAGTAAGGAACATTCTATCTAATATAACATTATTCTTATTATAACAGAGAAAATACACATTTATACAAAACCTAATAACTCCAGTCTATATGGTATAGAATAACATATTATTGATATTGTAAAATTGTTCATCATTTATCTCAATAAAAAATAACAGTACATATCAACATATTTGTCAACATGTTTTAAACTTGTAACTTTGAATATATACATATTCAAGAAGTTTTAGGTCCACATGTGTGTTATCTTTTGAAGATAAAGAAACAAAAAACAAAACAAAAACAAAACAAATCAAAAATGAAACATTAACTATAATTAAATTTTTGACATTTGTATTAATATCAACTAAATAAGATAACACTTGCTGTAATTCCATACCTAGGTCATTGGGTACATAGAATCAAAAACACCGAGTAAAGTTATCCCTTTGTATTCAATGAATTACCTCAAAGTACATGATATTTATCCACATATCTCCTGCATTTATGATTTGTTTCAGACAATTTTTTGATGAAGAGGAGCTCAATAACATTTTGAAAGTCCTCGAGAACCCAGAACTAATAGACAAACATGGATACGGTGTAAGTAAATTTTGCAAAGTTTGTATGAAAGACTATTATGACGCAATTAAAGATCTATAGATCTTTTCTCGTATTCTCGTACCTTCTAATCCATGACTTTTTCGTTCTTCAAACATTTATGCTACCAATGTACTTATTAACGGAAGACTAATTTATCGAAACGTTTTTATGTATACATAGTAAATTGATTAGAAATGCAGATACATGTAATACCTATATCTACATATAATATAAGCACAAGCTTCATTAGGGGTTATCACTGGACCATGTTTATCTTAAAAGATCAATACTCGTTTCATCAGTTTATCAGAACGATAAATATCTCAACAATCCTTGATTCATCACAATGTGTATATTTACTATAAGATTAATGTTACAGGTTCCAGATGGACTAGGCACAAAAGCCAAAATGGTCATCTGGAGCCATCCCGGTAATGACGTGACAGGCATGGTTGCTCGAAGCGAAAAAGTCGTCAATACATGCGAACAGGTTTTTTCTCTATTATATTTAACTAAAAACAGATGATAATGTTTCGTAACAAAATACTGAAAATGTGGAATTCATCAGGATGAATTTCATGGTTGGTGCCCCTCTTTTTCAATGAAATGATTTATAATGATATGTGTTTTGCTCAATTTGTTTTGATAGGTTGTTTTCTATTGGTACTTACACACAATATAAATATATGTTATAAATCATATTCCTGATCTTCTTGAAACCACATTTTGTTTCGGGAAACCAATATGTTCCAGTCAGTATCACATCTCGAGGAATACCAGATTCTTTATAACCTACATCAGCCGAAACCTCTATTTTTTTTTTATCAGAATCCTTATTGTAACTTTTAAATGGCAAAATCAGGGCGCATACAATAATTCGTCAGCGAATGAAGGCAGCAATCGTGCACAACAGTTTATTACGTAAGACCTGAGTGCAACGTTGATTTTCACTCATTTTGAAGAGCCTTGCTTCTGTGCATCTATATGAAGGCATTACATAAATGTACGAACATATTAAAATCCCATCAGTTTGAACGGACTAATTGAGGACTAAAGCAAACAAAAAAATATACAATGTCTAACATGAAAGTTACAGCCGCCATTAATTCCTAAACACAACCTTAACATTAACATTACCGTTTTATGTGCCTAAAAGCGAAATGAAATAATTAAGCTCGATAATTGGACCATTCGTCTCCAGATTTTGGGAGATTTTTGATAAATAAAATCTTCGTTAGGCCACCATAAATTATGATACCGTAAAATGCACAAAAGTTAAATAACGGCAGTTTTCAGACCGATCCCTAAAATCGTGTGAGCCCTCCTCGAACAAAACAATTATAGCTTATATGTTTTCATTACCAATGGTTAGTCAAGCCTTTTTGTGGATTTGCTTTTTGTCATATTGAGGGATAAGGTAAGGTATCGTAAAATTCCTCTTACTTTTTATAGAGCTAATGCATATTTGATACAAAATGCTTTACAATTTAAGAAATTGCATTTCTTTATCCTGTCTGTATACAAATTTAAAGTTATTTTTGAGTAAAAGAACAAGTTTACTTCACTACAAAAAAATTATGAATATATCAATTGGATTGGACAGCAGGCTGGAAGCTTATATAAATCTTGTCCAAAATTCCGGTGGTTACAATAACAAAGGGAAACAACTCCTTTAAAATGATACAAATAGAATTTCTTAGCATTGAAGAAATAATCCACCATAATGTTTTCATTTCATACTTATGTTATTGACAATTACTAGATACTCATTCCCTACACTTACCATGTCCAGTACAATGAGTTTCTACCAGGGAGTTCATAGTGTAATAATAAGTTCTCTCTCCAATGGTATTACAACAAGTATAGGGGGAAAGGTATTTGAAGTATAAACATAAGTGTTGTTTTGACATATTCAGATTATGCACAAGAAGTAGTCGGAGCTGTTTACCACATACCTACATTTCTGAAAGTTGTTCAATCACTTTAAAAGTTGACAATATTCAGCGGAATTATTTAATGATCATCAATGCATTAGTGATAATGCTAGTAGTACAATTATGATAACAATACTATGAAAAGGCAATGAATACATAGGATGGCAGCCTCCACCAAATCCACGATGCCTATGAGTTTAGCTGCATCATACAGTTGACACGTCCTTCTAGGATGTAAAAGCTAGATTGGGATGCGCACTAACTCCATAATCAAATAAATCATTTCATAAATTTCATATGTCTGATGATTTTACAGCAATGGCAAGGGCATAGATACATTCTTGAACTTTGCTACTATTCAATGGATTAAAACTTGGCATGCAGGTAAAGGCAACCCTCGTGGACTTCGATTCCACTAACAACCTTAAAAACATTTGCATAACCCTTAAACGATATAATGTGAACACACTCATTTCCGTCAGCGATTGATTTTTGCGTAGTTCGCGTGCTCACTTGGTATAAATGCCAGCTCAATATCAAAAGAAGTGAACACAATTAAGTTTTTTTTAATGCACTTACTTATGTTTTATAGAATAGCTGTATGATGCTGTTTGATTTATTATTCGGCTCTATTGTATCTTATTCTTAATTGTAAAAAAGTGCAATTTACGTGCCAACTTGGGTTTATGTTTCTAGTTGACCGACGGAAGTAAATGCGCAACGTCGCGTTATGTGGATCATTACCGGAAGTCAAAACGAACGGTATTAGTTTAGAAACATACTTAGAGGCACATACAGACAGACCTATAGTTTCAAAGATCTAGAAGACTCAGGATTTGACCTAATCAAGCATGACTTTTCTTGTCCAATAATTCTGAGCGACAACATCCGCGACACTATAGCAACCGAATCTTGAAAAGTTTTCACAAACACCGCTTCATCATCATACTTTACATGTAACTTAGCTTCGTCACTAACAATTCGATTCAGAAGATTATTTTTCCATTTTCCCGTGTAAACATATCTGGAGTTTTTAAGTAGAACATATCCCTTCCAAATAAAAAAATTCTTAAGGGACTTCATGATGATTGCAACGTAAGGCTGGGCATGGAAGTATTTAAACTAACCCACAGAACCGTGCTCCCTTGATATGAATGCCAGCTCAATAACTAAAAAAAGTGAACACAATTCCGTTTTCAAAATGCAATTACTTATATTTAATAAATACTTATCTGGTAAAGCTCTACTCATCGAGTAAAATTGGCCATTACTAATCTGGAAGTTGGCGACTCACACTTAAATTTGACGGACGGAACTTACAACCGGTTCTAAATATCTGGATTGATTAATGTAAATCGTGAATTAAATCGCCGCAAACGTTTGTTCGCCGTATGTATGTATTTATCTGTGGAAATAAGTGTCATAATTGTTATTGTGCTTCACAGAAAACCAAGTTCAAATGTACCTGCACGATTGGTTTTTACATAACATTCATCTACGTTAAGATATAGTTTTCTCTCATCTCTACCCCTTGAATATCAATTGCCATTTCTCTCATCTCTACCCCTTGAATATCAATTGCCCTTTCTCTCATCTCTACCCCTTGAATATCAATTGCCTTTTCTCTCATCTCTACCCCTGGAATATCAATTGCCTTTTCTCTCATCTCTACCTCTGGAATATCAACTGCCTTTTCTCTTATCTCTACCCCTGGAATATCAATTGCCTTTTCTCTCATCTCTACCCCTGGAATATCAATTACGTTTTCTCTTATCTCTACCCCTGGAATATCCATTGCCTTTTCTCTTATTTCTACCCCTGGAATAGCAATTGCCTTTTCTCTCATCTCTACCCCTGGAATATCCATTGCTTTTTCTCTTATCTCTACCCCTAGAATATCAATTGCCTTTTCTCTCATCTCTACCCCTTGAATATCAATTGCCCTTTCTCTCATCTCTACCCCTTGAATATCCATTGCCTTTTCTCTCATATCTACCCCTGGAATATCAATTGCCTTTTCTCTCATCTCTACCTCTGGAATATCAACTGCCTTTTCTCTTATCTCTACCCCTGGAATATCAATTGCCTTTTCTCTCATATCTACCCCTGGAATATCAATTACGTTTTCTCTTATCTCTACCCCTGGAATATCCATTGCCTTTTCTCTTATCTCTACCCCTGGAATAGCAATTGCCTTTTCTCTCATCTCTACCCCTGGAATATCCATTGCCTTTTCTCTTATCTCTACCCCTAGAATGTCAATTGCCTTTTCTCTTATCTCTACCCCTAGAATATTAATTGCCTTTTCTTGAATTAATACACTCTGTTTCCTTACTTATATGATTCAGGACGAATAGATTATTAATCGATGTGCCTTAAATGAAAATGTAATGGAATCTGTTATGGATAGAGTATTTACTAAACAGAAAAGTAAAAGAACGTGTATTTGAGTTTTTATCAAAATTTGTCCAGATATTCACGCCCACTAGAAACATGAAATCACTCTGAACTAATTTTTTCAAAACAAATACTGACATTCATTGAATACATTTCATTAGAACATTAAGACGTACCGAAGTGAATTCAACCTTTTGAACTCGGTATGTGTAATCTATTATCACAGCTGATGGGCGGAGATGAAGTTTATCATTATCACGCCAAGTTTATCCGGAAAGATGCATTCGACGGCGGCTGTCACCTTTGGCACCAGGATTATGGGTAAGACTAAATATCCTGATATAATTAGGGTTGTTGCAAAATTAATTGTTACAATATTAAATTAATAGATACAGAGAATTCTTTCTTATTATGTACATTAAATGTTATAACATATAGTCTCAATATATTAATAACCAAGAATCATCTCAAACTCGCAGTTTGACGTATCAGCATGAAATAACTCTAACTCGTACAGCTTTATGTTCTGGATAAAAAAAGACCATTAGATAGAAATGAAACGCGTCTTTTAATAAAAGTAACGTATCTGATGGTATTTTAATGATTCTTTCTTTTATTTTCGTAATTGAAGATATTGGTATCAAAATGGATGTCTGTTCCCGGACGAAATGATTTCGATTTTTATAGCTATTGATAGATGTGAAAAAGGAAATGGATGTCTTCAGGTATGACTTATTTATGTTTCAAATATGATTGAAATATAGATTAATTAATCGCACATATTCGCGTATATCAAATATGGTAAAACTCAGTCATTTGATGGATGAATGGCATTCCTAATCTTAAGTTATGAATCGTTTCAAATTTTTTCTTTTTCAAACTATGCACCTACATTGTCTCACCCTAGAGCTGACGTTTTATGTTTATAATATCATCACAATTGTGTCGAAATTTCAATTACGCCAACATCAAGAGTAACCCAGTGAAGCAATTCGTAATATGTACAAAACACTGGAATGTCCTTATATATTGTTGTGCATCTGCAATGTTATAGTATATATCGTTTGGTTTATACGTTTTGTTTTAACTTTACTCTAAAGTAAACGTGGTATACATTAGAATGTATACTTATTTCATACTGCATCTTAATGTATTTATGTATATACTAAACAAAAAAAGAAAGGTAACACTACATTATTCTGTGATTAATTAATTAACCCCTTCATAAATCCTTACCAATCATGTACGAATAAAGCAATTGATCAATTCTGATAAAACTGCAGTCATGGTTCATTATAAAACTTTGCGTTCAGTTGATTTTATTCGACTGTAAAGGAGGTTGGGGTCAATTTCAAAGGTAACACCATTAGTAACGGGTATGGCCACCGTTTGCGAAGTAAACAGCATTGCAGCGTCCTCGCCTGGAACTCGTAAACCAGCGAATAATTCGAGGAGAGATGTTGTTCCATTCAGCGATCAAGGCTTGGGCCAGTTCCTGCAAGTTTGACGGCTGATTTTGACGTTCTCTCACGCGTCGCCCAAGAACGTCCCAGACATGCTCAATTGGTGACAAATCAGGTGATTTAGATGGCCAATCTGACACCTGTACGTTATTCTGCTGCAAGAAAGTTCTGCTGACGCGACTAGTGTGCGCTGGTGCGTTATCCTGTTGAAAAATGGCGCCAACGTCATGGCGTCTTAAGAATGGCAGAACCAAATTTCGTCCCGATATCGAATGCCGGTTAAATTGCCTTTTAACACAACAAGCCTGGTACGAGTCCCCCCACAAATACCACCCCAAACCATTACACTTCCGCCCCCAAAGCGGTCCCGTTCTGCGACGCAGCAGTCCGCAAAACGCTCCCCTCGTCGCCTCCACACTCTGCGCCTTCCGTCACCGTGTTGCAGACAGAACCTAGATTCATCTGAAAACAGAACATTGTTCCATTGTCGTAAGGCCCAACGACGGTGAACACGGGTCCAGTTACGCCGATTATTACGGTGATGTCGCAACAATTTGGGTCCAGTGTAGGGACGCCGCGCTTTCAATTGGAAGGCCCTTAACCTGTTGCGGACTGTTTGGGAAGACACACAACGCCCAAACATTGTCCTTGTAGTCTCTACTGCGGTTACGAATCGATTGCGCAAGTGTATCAATCGTATACGACGGTCATCCCTGTCGGTCGTTTTACGGGGTCGGCCGCTTCGGGGACGATCGGATGTTGACCCAGTTTGGTTTAAACGACTGGCAAATTGTCTTAACACTGCAGTCAAAATGCCGTGCAACCCCCTTGGATTTTGTAATGTAAAACATTACCATTTTCTAATATTGCACAAACGTCATTTTGTTTTCACTCATTTACAGGTATTCGCCAAGGAAACATGTTAACCTTTCTTTTTTTGTTGAGTATATAAGTACCTCATTACTATAAATAGTAGTTTGATGGAAACATGTAGATGAAGTATGTAGATCACTTTTATTTTGGCAAGACTGAAGGAGTGAACACTACAGTCAAGCTCGCATGTTTGCGAATTGTTTTATAGATTCTAAAAGGATCTCACAAATGTGGTAGAATAGATCATAAAGCAGTGGCTGGACAGACGATGGCTGACATGGAAAGGCTCAATGCAATTAAAGAGAAGTGTATGCTGGAACATGTTGAGCTCAACCCCGGTAATATACAACCATGCTTCATGTATATGTTATCGTTATTTATATGTAATAGATTCATCCCCAATCATAAATATAGTCCTACTTGAATCTAAGCAAACTATGTATCTGTATGCCATCCTCAAACGAATGCAGTAGATCACGGAATGTTAGCACTAATCTTATGTTAGCTCTCTTCAAACTGAAAGTGTTGCACTGAATCATACTTGCATTATTGCACCCAATATGATGTTTGAATAGAAAACGTTGCGATAATATAACACAGAGTTTCAGAAGAACGTCAAGTTCATATATATATTCCTGACCATGCTACTATCGGAATTTCAACCATCGGTGGCTAAAAAGTTCTTCTACCACTTGCAACCTCGCAAATTGTACAAGCATTTTCATGAAACAGTGTGTTAAAGCTATTCAATACGTATATTTTCTAAAGAGAAAATAAGCTTCCTGTCCGCCCGAATCCCGACGTAACATAATCATAATTCAAACTAGAATACAGCAAACGATTGACAAAATATTAGTAAAACAGATTCCTGAAAACGTACTGAAAAAAGAACACTTGGTGTTTCGGAAGAATAGGAATCCTCTGCTTTATCGATGACATCCACCATATAAGTCTTGATCAATATCAGTGAGTAATGTCATGTTTCTTAGTTAAAAGCTAAGTATTCAATAACGGCAATGAAATGCAATCTAACGAGAATCCAGTTTTTCCAGTTTCCTATTGCAGAAAGAAATAAATTATTTCTCAATTAAATCATGGTTGCCGTAAAACTTCCCTGGAACATTCATCATCCTGCATGTCTTGAACTGTTTTATCAATAACATCTAATATAACATCTCGTCTTATCCTGTCCCTATAGCTTCCCAACGAAACACCCAGTATGTTAAAATCGCTGCCTTTCGAGTTTTTTTTTTCTTCAAATTTTAGTCATTTCAGTCACGTGACATTACAATTTTGCTACCCTTGACATTTTCGGTCTGTGCATTTGATAGTAAGCAGCGGGGAAGTATCAATGCATTATTCTATTGTAACGATGGAAAGAAGAAGAAGAAAAAGATGGTATTAAATCTAAAAAGTAAGCGTCTTCTATTTCAAAGCACTAGTATTCAAAGATCGAAAACACTTTCTTTTTGTAGTGTTTTTGTCTAGTCCGTCAACCAGTGAAGATTCAAGTATAACCGTGTGACATGCATGTAGAAATTAAGATTTTAAGATATATAGAGTGAACTAGAACTTTATTTGAGATTTAGAAATACTTCACTATTATGAATTGAGAAAGTTTCATGGACTAAACACGCATTCACCGTATATAGGTAGGGTTGACAAAATTTCCGAAGGTTGAAATTTAATTACGAATGCGACTTGGAAATGGCTAACACGAAAGGCAGCATTTATCAGGCACTTCCTCCTCACTAACAAAGAGTGTAGATCATCCAGCAGAAAAACAAATGGCAGCTAAATTACAAATGTTAGGCATCCTATCTATAAAATTCCTGATAAAAACTCATATGGGTGTCACATCAAACTCATATAACTCGTTTTTAATGCTGTCCTATACCTATAGCTCCTGACAAATACTTTTGTCTGTCAAACTGTCCAAAGACTAAAACAACTTTATCTGACTGATACAACTCCCTAATGTGCAAAATGTTCTGTCTTGCAATTTCTGTTGACATCGTTACGCATGCTTTGATAACTCTACTCGTATGTTTCTTGATTAAATCTCCGAAGTTGAAGTAATCAAGTCGCAAAATAGCTTTCCTTAATAAAAGTCGTTTAGGTACTGATTATCTTTCATTTTTTATGTATGAAATAATGGACATACACTTCTTTATTTGTACAATAATCGTCACGTACATATACCAAACGTGTATAACCTGGTACTGATTACTACCAACACGAAGTTATCTTGCCTGTTCGCGAAAAGCAAACTTCGTGTTATTGACTAGTGGTATTATATTTAAAGGTGACGCTTTAATCTTCCATGCCAACTTAATTCATACCAGTGCTCCAAATACGAGTCCGAAGAGACGCTGGGCGCTGATACATTCGTACAACAAGAAATGCAACGACCCGATCTATAAACACCACCACCCTAATTATACTCCTTTGTCAAAGGTATTGATGTATCTAGACATATCTTCTGTATGAAACTATTTACAATTCGCTGTATGTTACCTGTAACTGTTTAGCCCAGTTGGGTTGTGAACATTCAAATGGTACTTTTGTGTTGTTACAGTTGGTGTTTAGTTTAATGTTTGGACTGGCTGTAATGGCTGTTAGGGGTTATTCGCATTATCTTAGTGTTTCAATTTCAATTCAGTTTTGGAAGTCTATTGTTGTTATTTCAAGAAACAGACATTATATCAACCCATATGCCTTAGCCCACGGACAGTGTCCTGATTAATCTCTTGGCATTTTTAAATTTATCGATAAAGATAGTCATGATATGGAGTTGACGACATAATAATTAGATAACTTGATCACATTTCAGATATCTATTCGTTATATTACAGGTAAAGGATAGTTGCATAAAAGAATGCAGAAACTACACTGACTTTTCAGGAAAGGATTTCATGGATCCGAAATCGGACAAGACAACAGCAGGAGAAAAATAAAGAACATTAATTCTGATATGTCATAAGAGCATATTCCTGTAAATGGTGCAAAACAGTATAATAATGGAAATGGAAACGAACTGAAATTTCGAAATGTGGATAGACCCAATTAAGAAAGATTGCACAAATATCTTTTATATCTTTATTGATACCATTGTTCTAAGAATTTTCTTTGTGAATTAAAAACATAATTCATGTAACTTCTATAAAGGATACAGATTCTAAATGGAATTAATTATCATTTAAGTGATGTAAGACTTTTTAAAAGATTATTTCACTGTATTATCAACTTGAAGCACCCTATTACAATCAAAGTAACTTGAACTTTCAGCGAATCGAAGTATACAGTAGGTATTTTTACGCTGAATCAAATTTCCAATTCCAAGATGATACACATCATTGATGAAAGTGTAGTAATTTAGAATTCATTCATGCATTTAAGCCGTAATAAACCAAAAGATATAAATACCGGTAAAGGATGTGTGAATTAAATACCGGTATAGGATGTCTGAATTAAATACTGGTATAGGATGTCTGAATCAAATACTGGTATAGAATGTCTGAATCAAATACTGGTATAGGATGTCTGAATCAAATACTGGTATAGGATGTCTGAATCAAATACTGGTATAGAATGTCTGAATCAAATACTGGTATAGGATGTCTGAATTAAATACTGGTATAGGATGTCTGAATTAAATACTGGTACAGGATGTCTGAATTAAATACTGGTATAGGATGTCTGAATAAAATACTGGTATAGGATGTCTGAATAAAATATTGGTATATAATGTCTGAATCAAATACTGGTATAAGATTGGACTATTAAAACAATATTCAGTGGCACTGCACCATTGAGACTGTTTTGAGGACCACGACTCGAAGAATATGTCGATGCACATTTCACTTTTAAGGATTGTTTTCTTCCTTAACTTATATCTCTTTCAGTTATGGTAGAGAATAGGGTGCATTTGCAGTATTGTCCTTAGTCAAATGGCACATCAACATAATAAAAATGCTGAAGCTAGATGGAAGGTGTCAAAGCATTATGTGTAGCATTTGATGCTGACTGGATGTTGTGTATTGCTGTCAAGAACAGAAGTCTTTTAACAGACTTGGAACCGTTTCACATTCCCATCCAAACGCAACATGATCCGACAAATGCTAAATACTAACTATTTAACACAAAATCATGCGAAATGCAAAACGATCAAACAATGCAAACAACTATAAACACTATCGCATAACGGTCGACGATAAACAAACAACGCAAACGCTAAGTGATCGATGGTAAATACAAACGCAAAACGGAATAGACCCGGAATGGATGAAGATATTATGTATATAATTACGAAGACGGACTTCGATATAGGTCACATGCCGATAAATCAGTCATTTTAATTATTTCATAGCTTTTATAATTGAAATTCAAAACAGGTGAAAACTGTGTAGATTCTTAGAAACATCCCTGACTACAAGTGACATTTATTTTAACCGTAACTTACATTTATTTTTATTTATCATGTATGTACACGCACTTGCTTTAATTGTACACCAAGTTGATCCCTCCCCGGGTAGGTTAGTGGTACTAATGTTTGAACAACCAAAATCTAAGGGAGCGAGAGGTATGGGAACTGACCCCAACTTAGGTGGTATCTGCAACGCCCAGTGTTTAATCGACAGCAGGGTCCTTGATTGAGTCACTGACCGAAAATAACACCAGACGTTCACGTAGACTGCTAGGCGTATCGACTACTCCAGCTTTGTTGATAAATGGTTACACTACAGTCGTTTCTGACTGCTAAGCAAAGGCAATTAAGGCGGAAATCTAATGGTAATATTTGTCCAGTTATGTCAGTATACAAGTAACATGCAATCTTGATGTTTGTTAAATGTTAGTTTAACGTGTGTCTCAATAGTGATTAACGTCTTATTATTCGTTTATCACGTGTCTCCCTAGTGTTTCACATCAGTATATAATTAAACACTGAATGGACACGTGGTATCACGTGACTCTATATAACGTATAATGTCATTATATCACGTGGTCTCTTTCCATTGGGTTCTAGTTGCTTATGTATCTCCAGAGTGTTTAAGATATAACTGAAACACGTGTCCTTTTAGAGTTTAATGTCATTATATCATAAATTCTCTATCTGTCTGATGCCAGCATCTCAAGTGTCTCCAAAGTGTGTAATGTAAGTATATCATGTGACCCTTGTTTGATGCCAGCATCTCATGTGTCTCCATAGTGTGTAATGAAAGTATATCATGTGACTTCTGCTTGATGTCAGCATCTCATGTGTCTCCATAGTGTGTAATGTAGATAAATCACGTGACATCTGTTTGATGCCAGCATCCCATGTGTCTCCATAGTGTGTAATGTAAGAATATCATGTGACCTCTGTTTGATGTCAGCATCTCATATGTCTCCATAGTGTGTAATGTAAATAAATCACGTGACCTCTGTGTGTTGTCATCATCTCATGTGTCGCCATAGTGTTTAATCAATGCCCTTGATTTGGAAGTGAAATGATATAGGTATCAGGCGAAGTAAAAACCTTGAACACACGTGAACAGGAAGTATGCTTATCCAATATTTACCAAGTGTATTGTTGTTTTATTTAGTTGACACTTTGTACATTGCATATGTATAAGTGTATAATTATGTAGTCAATGTGTGAAATAAAATGGAGAACTGGGGATTTTTTCAGTTGTGCGATATACTGTGCATCTTGAAGATTTGCGTGTACAGTCTATTTGCATCAATATACGCGGTATTAAGTCATTTCTGAAACAGTGGAAATTGTAACAATTTTTTTCAATTTTTCCTGTGTTTGATTGTGAACAGAAAGGCTTGACACGAATTTACAAATGATAAAAATTACTCAAGTAACACTAACTACAGTATAATAACCTTTTTGATCATAAAAATTCTTTTCAACCTCAATTTGTTAGTAATACAGCATGTCACGTAAGCATGTATATTTTGTATACAATTGGGGTAAGTCACCTTAATGGTAGGGTACCGCTAGGCGGAATTGCGTCACGGGTAGGTGTGCACGGGGTGAGATTCTCATGACAGGTATTGTGTTATTGTTACCGTGCACCCGATATGGATTTATCGGCATTTAGCGTCATGTGAGACAGGCACAGGGGACTCACTGTGGTAAGTAATCTATCTCTTTTTCTTTTCTATATTAGTTGGTATTGTTGTTTTGTACCAGTCCATATATCGGGTCAAACAATCTAAGTATCTGTGCGCTCCAGTCAGCCGTGACCATTGTTTATTGTTTGTATGTTGATAACTTTCATTTTTGTTGTTTTCGTGCTATAACTGAATTTATTATGTCTGTTTTCCTAAATATGCACATGATATAAACATATTGGAGTGTTGTACATGAAACTGCTTAGTCTATATCATGTTTCGGGTCGATTTTAAAATCTATGGATGCCCTGATCCATATATTAGTGCCGAGCGTAGTGCGTACGCGAACGAGTGGAAAAAGTATGGAAGCCTTGAGGTGTCAGTTGGTGTGTTTCGTAATTTTGTTTTATTTTGTTTGTAATTTGGAGCCGCACATTATTTCGACGCTAATATGAACGTATTTCAGTATTTTCTAATTATGGTTCATTCTAAAGTTGAATAATTATGGTAAATAATAAGAATTTTTGTACCATGTGTTTTGTTAGTATAGTATGGAAGTGTGAGTGGAAATTATAACTATTTGTGTTAATCAGTATAGCTTCACATGACGGAATGGAACATTGATTGAGTCAGGACCAGGCAGGCCTCTCCTTTACATTGCGACCCAAGCGTCAGGACCGACCAGAAGTAACGACTTTCATTCATGGTCAAGGTCAGCGAGGGAGCATACTTAGAAGTTACACTGCCAGGGTCGGCGACTTGAATTCAACACTTAATCAGCTGTCATGTCATTGACATAAGTGCGTTGCCTATTATGGTGATACAAGCGTGGAACTGCTTGAGGACGGTGACTCTGGATTGAGTCACGGTGATTCAGAGTATGGAACTCTATTGGGTTTGACAGGAACACTGTTCTGTTTCGTGAGCTAGAAGCTACAGGGACACTTATCATTATTTGGTTTATGAGTGTGTGAGTTAGCGAGTGTGACATCTTGAAATATATAGTTTATTTGTTTCATTGTAAATAAACATCATTGTTATACTGTGATCGGTTCTTTCAGCTTTCTTTTCCCGGATCACCAACCGTCGCTCGTCCCACGTTAACAATATGATGGCAGCGGTGGGATAGCCAACGTTAGTTTTCGGGAATAGATTTCTGATTGAATTGATTACGTTAGGCTAGATTGCTTGACGGATACCGGCTAGGATCTGGTTGTTCCTTGGGGTGGTTTTAGATACTGTGTGTGCATTTTAACAGGTAAGACAACAGGTTTGAGCAAACATGCCGGATCTAAGGTGAGTACTTTTACCCCGCTGTATTATTCGGTTTTTGTTTGTAATTTTGCTTTTGTTTGTAGCAACGTGAGATTGTTTTGTTTTCAGGATGTCTTCCCTCGCCGAGTTAATGGAATTTGGGAAGAACTTTGGATTAGAAGGTGAGGCACTTCGGTCATTTGTTCAATAGCAGCAAGCAAAGGAAAGGGAAGATCGCGAAAGAGAAAGGGAAGAACGCAGACAGCTTATTGAGATTGAGGAAAAGAGAGAGACTAGGGCTGATCGGAGGGCTGAAGAAGAACATAAGCGTAAGCTGGAACTGATACATGCAGGCCAAATTTCGCAAGCGGAATCAACCCAGAGGGGCAATGCATTGGTGAAGAAAGGTCCTAAGTTGCCAGCATTCAATGAGGAAAAAGACAACATTGATGCATACATCCAACGGTTCAAAAGATATGCTACTGTACAGAACTGGAACCGGGACGGATGGGGAGCCAACTTGAGTGCACTATTGACGGGAAATGCCCTAGCAGTATTTCCAAGACTACCAGTTCAGCAGGCTCTTAACTTCGACGAGTTGAAGAAAGCTCTGCTAAAGAGATTTGACATGACAGAGGAAGGTTTCAGGAGAAGTTTCCGTACATCTAGGCCTGAGGGAGGAGAAACATT